TTGCTGCCCTTATTCACAAAGCCCTCCGCGCTTCCCTTTGTGTGTTCAAAAAGCCCATTCATTCGAAGAGGGCAGCCGAAAAGTGTTAAAAAAGAGAATTCGTGGTCCTCATGTTTTATGCAAAATCTGCATTTTGAATACTTTTGCTGACGAACGACGGCGTTTTTTGAGAAATGATTGAGTTTCGCATGAATAAAGTTTCTGATTGTTTGAATAGAAGGTTCTTAAACGTCTGCGAGAAGTAAAAAATTATTATAAAAAAGAGATATAGAAGAGTATTAATAATATTATACGGAGTATCATAGTAACATTGTAATTTCATGAAAAATAATGGCATGATTGATTTTCCACTATTTTGGCCCTGACTATCTTTTTTTGCTTCAATTTATCTAGTCAAAAGGTTTTTGATGGATTTTATATAAGCAGTAGTGGCGGACCCCTGAGAATGGGTCGCGAAATTTTTGAAACTTACCTACATAGGTTATAAAAATGTGCAAATGACTTGTTTATTTTTGTAAACAATCAAAATAATTTTTCAAATTTTTCAAAAAATTCAGATTAGCCTTGTAAAAAATTTTAAAAGGGAGCATGGCTGACGCCACGCCCCTCTTTTCTAGATTATAGAGGTCTAGGGCCCAAAAAAAATTTCAAGAACCACACCAAAAATTTTTTCGGAGTGCGTGGCTAACATTTTCGCACCTTCGTTTGAAAAAAAATTTTCCGCGCCTCTCTCCCCCCCCCCCCCCGGCCGAAATCCTGGACGTCACTGATAAGCAGATAAATAAAAACATCCAGGCTAAAAATTTTGTCAATTTTTCCCCAGCTGTGAAAAATGCAAGAAATGATTTTTTTCCTTGCGCTGCTGTCAATTCGCAAAATTGCAATTTTTTCCTCGGACTGATTGTAAGACGGCTCTTGTTACCTTTGAGAAAAAAAAGGGTTCCTAAGATTTTCTATCGCATGAGGGAAGGACGAGGGACAGAGTTACAGCATCCCAACAGCCCTCTCCCCCCCCCCCTCACCAGAATGTTTAGGTAATTTTCAAAAGTGTTAATGTTCTAGAAATTATGCAATGACTTGTTTTCACTTGTCAGTGGATAATTTCTCTGAACCTTATGAAAATCCAAATTAGCTTTGTAAAACATCGAAAGTTGAATTTCAATGTTTTCATAATTTAGACGGGGAAAATGTCCCTCCTCCTTAAAAAAATTTTTTAGAACCACCAACAACTCACATACACTTCGACTACCTTCTTGCTCCAGTCTGATTAATAATGCATAAGGAAAGTACGAAATGAGGACGACCTTAGGTGTTTCTTAAGGGCCGGGCATACTTCACGCGATTTCAGCCGCGGCGCGATTTGGCAATTCGCCAGAAGTCTTCAGATCCAACACTAGCAAACAGCACATGCATAGTGTGTATAACTTACGCAGATTGACAAAATGCCCGATCTTCTGTACATATATAATGTGTCTACGGTGAGTTATGGACAGTTGGAATATTGCCAAATCGCGTCGCGACTAAAATCGCGTGAAGTATGTATGCCTGGCCCTTTACAAATCGTTGTTATTCAAATTTTTTATCTTATCGAAATAACCCCATCGAAACATTTGCCTATACTCATCTATTTTCTTTGTGAAAATTCTCCCTCAAAAGTCATCAATTATTTTTGAAATAAAAACTATTTATAAAAATATAAAGTATATCATATTCTCAAACGCAAAACTTTTCCTTTTTTTTTCGTCTTCTTTACTCTCAGCCCCCCCCCCCTCCTGCTCTTCGCTTTCCCCTTTACTACTTGGGGAAAATAGGACTCAGTTATGCACGTGTGGGCAGCAAATTGATGTCCACAGCTGGTCTGCGCATTATTGATCCCGAACCACCTCTAGTTCTTCGGCCACAATATGTAATTTCTCCTCTAAGCTTCATTTTCTAGTGTTCTCGAAGCTAAATCATTGATTTTGATGAGAAATATGTAGATTTAGGCACTCGTAGAAGTTTTTGCTTGAAATTTTAGGAAATTATTGTTTATGAATGCCTTCCAATACTGTCTAGAACAAGAAAAGTTTTCGGAGCCAATGAGTCTTGGGGATTGAAGTTTCCGTGAACCATAAAAGCTCACTTAAATTTATAAAAAAAATCATCGCTCATTGATGTTTGACACCCCCAGCTCGAGAAAATGATTTTTCGCCTAAAACTTTAATCAAACAAAGCAATCCCCCTCCCTATTACGTGCAGTCGTGTGCAAAGGCTTATTCCCTTTTTTGCCGCCTTAGTGTCATTTTTTTCCTATGACGTCACTGTTTCATATCAAATTTCTTTATTCAGAACACCAAAGTTACATTTCATCATATGAATGAGTCATTCTACCTATGTACCAAGTTTTTTATGGTTTTCAGGGCCAGGTGTCATTCAACTATGAAATGTGACTTCTAAATGCCATCATTCTAAAGTTTACCTAACCTCTTTCATTGAATTGTTAAGTTTGATAGATTTTTTTATAGATTTTACATTTCTCTGCAAAAGCTGCTATCACTTTAGCATTAATTGAAAGCCAGTATACTGTGATAATAAATCGATTTTGTTAAGTTAATAACTAAAAAATGTAAAAAAACGTATTAAGGTTACAAATTTCAATAATATGTACTATCTTGACATATCATACCCAAGTGCGATTTTTCGATCAAGAAAAGAAATCACGATGTAGGAAGAGTCGCAGGCGTAATATTCCAAAAAACATGCATTCAAATTGTCTCAGTTCTTGAGTTTTATAGCCTTTTTCATGAAAGAGCAATTAATTTTGGAATCTTTCTCACTATTGAAGCTATCGATCTCAAGACATTACTTTGGAGCAAGAAAATGAAACGATATAGAACATGATTTGGTTTTTGCTACTATAACTCCTTTTTTAACACTTTTTTATTGAAAATCTGAGAAATTTCTGTTTTTATGCCCCATAATTTTAAACTTGTCATCACTTGGCAAATCCTCACTATCTATTTCCATAAGTAGTGTTAGGTTGGAAGGAAAAGAACCTCGCTTTTTTGCGTTTTTTCAGCAGGTATTTCTCGGAAACTACATAGAACATATCGAAGTCCGAAATTTCATGAATAGAGTCCCGAAGGTTGTAGTACGCAATATGGGCGGAGCCCAGAACAATCAGGGTCGGACAGAGGAGGTTCGTGGAATTTTTTGGGGCGAAAATCCAATATTATGGCCTTATAAAATGCTCTTAAGTTTTGGCTTTAGAGTTGTGTAAACGACCCCTGAGCCAATGTTTGACATTTGTTTTTTTTACCTTCTTTTTTTATCTAACCAGAAAATCACCAAAGTTAAGAAATTTTAAACATAGAAAATTAAATGACAAAGTACTTCTCTTCAGGCGAAGTCTTTCAAAATTTGATTTCTACTGTGTTTGCTCGTTCTCTCAAAAATGTTAAGTTCTATCTCAAACCCTTAGATTCGTTTTCATCAAATTTTCCACATTATCGGTCATTATCATTCCTAATCACTCTTATCACTCATAATCACCATTGCGTCAGTAGTGGTACATATAAGAACCATTTAGAAGCTTAGAGATCGCTTTCGAAACATTTTCCTCCCTTCATAATCCTTCACATTCTTTTCGCTTTCATCTTGCTGTCAATCAAAGTGATTCATGACAAATCCTCTGCGAACGACGCTCCATTGCTCACCTAAGCTTTTTTTCTTTGGTAAGTTGACATTGCTCCTTCATGTCTTATGGGTAATCGACAATCAAGCTTTATAGGGCAGTCACATCAAACAAAGGTGTAAGATTTCATCTTCTTCAACGCTCGGACATTTCTTTTCTTCGCAGATATATTGTCACTATCCGTCTCATTCTTGAAATTCTGACATAGTGAACTGAAAAATTTGTGAACTTTCAAAGCTTCTGTTGACACAGATGGATTCCACAGGCGATCATGTTGATTTAACCCGGCGTCGTTGTTTTCAATCCTTTGCTGTAGGTCCCTCAGGTATTTTTGCTTTTCACTCCATAATTGTTCACTCTGCAGCATATTGAAGTTCTTCCTTAGGGGCAACTTCTAGCAATTTTGCGCCTATAAGAGAAACCCAGTTTTTTCATAAATAGGAAAAAGGCAAACTATGCGGTAACGCACAGTTCTGACTCGCCAGCTTTCTGCTTACGAAGTTTCGTCGTTCCATCGTTCTTCAGCCCAGCGGGCAGGTAGCGCGGCAGCGGCGCGGCTATCGCCGCTATGCTTTGTCTGCGTTGCCGAATCGAGTATAAGTCCACAGAAGCACAGGTTAACACTTTATGAAGTTGTAGTATCTTTATGTTAATACAATTAGACACTGTCTTTCAATCTGGAACTTTTAGTTAGAATGGGAAGTTATAATTGCCAAAAATGGCTTTGCAGGCGTAGAAGTTCAGAAAATTTGTCTTTGAAGCTTTTTTATGTATTTTTTTTGTCACATTGCATTTTTAACGTGTTTTATACTCTTCAGTACATAACTCTTCTTCTCAAAATTTTTTTTCACTGTTTTCCAAAAGTTTTTATTGCTCATGAATATTTAAGCGCAGTCGACCTTTAAGCATCACAAAACTTTTTTCATTTGGAAAACATGAAATATTTTCTTTTAAGGAAGCCATCTGACGTTTGAGATTAGGCAGTATATATGAAAAATTCTCTGCAAATAATGTTTTACTGCTTCGTATGTGGGTTAGAATCATGGATCTTGTTCTATTAACACAATTTGAAGTTCTATTAACACAATTTGAAAAATTGATTAGTCCAATGATAAAAACAGCATGAGTATTTTGTGTCAATTTGTCAGTTTGGAACTTTATACCCTTTTTCATCCTTTTTCTACATCTTTCGCTTTATCGATCTGCATTTCTGTATTTGTTTAGCTCTTCCTCTCTCCACAATGGCCATTTGATTCCTTGCCACTTGATGTTTACATTTCGAAGAAAAAATCAAATTCCTGTTTGACTAATTCTTCTTTATTTTCAGATGAATATATCGCTGCTAATATTTACATTATTATGTTGTTCACAAGCAGCCTCCGATGATGTGCAAAAAGCAGAAAACTCGTCCGCAATTCTGGAAGCGCTCAATGCGACAACACTGCCAGCGGTGGGTTCTTTTTCTAGTCTTCGATGCAAATTCACTTTATCTCCGAATATTTCATTATTTTGCACCAATGCTTATCAAGTTTTCTGGGTTTTTTTTGCGTTTTTCTCGAATTTTCTCATTTCTCGCCATATTTATTTAAATTTTCTCGCTCATACACCATTATTTTACAAAATATAAAAACTCTTGCATTGTGAAGGTGAGTGAATCTTAGCGCAATCGATGATTTTACCTATTCTTCTCCTCACCTGCACTTTTTTCAAAGCCCTCAGTACTTTTAGCCTTCGTAGTTTCTATGCACTAAACATCTGCATGCCCTTGTTATTCTAGTGCTTGTTTTCCTGAATTAAGTCGATCCGAATGAATGTGTCCGCATAGTCCTTGTGCATTTTGAAGTTTTCTCCATTGAGGAAGATGTTGTTTGGACTTGTAAGGCTTTGAACTCTTCACTATGCTTAATTTTCCTCATTTGGCAATTTTTTTGCTTCTGCTAAGTTGTTTCGTAAGTCTTGTACCATCCAGGTTTTTGAAGAAATACTGTAAATCGTACGTTTTCAATGAGTTGATGGCTCAAGTTCTAGAGAGATTTAATCATTAAATTTGTAGAGGTGCTCATTGGAAAAAGATATAAATTCTTTGCGAGATGAGTTGAAGGAAAATATTCAGGTTAAGATTTTTTGTTATTTTTTACCGTTGAGGTTAAAAGGCTCATACAGTTTTACTTTTGGTTTTGATGATATGCCTCCTAACCTAAAAATTTTTTTGCTGATCTGATTTTTTTGTTCCTACGATTTTTGAATTTCTTTATAATTTATATATTTTTCTTCTGTTATAATCAAATCTCTGACAAGCACAATATGATAGATTTTCTATCAATAAGGTAAAGAGTATACGAGCGCTTTCTTTGTATTTTTACGAGCTGATTTTTCGGTTCAAGAATCATGGGACAGTCTATAATCTAGCAGTTTTCTTATCGCATCTCATTTTCATGCTCCATAGAACGACAATGCTTCAAAAATTTCGAAATAATTCCTAATACTAACTTTCACTAGCTCCAAGGATGACAAGATAGTCTGATATTCGGGATTAGGGAACAGTTGGGAAGTAATTGATAAGCAGTAATTATTGTTTCGCTCAGTTCTGTTCAATGAGTGTACTGTTTTCACCTATAGGCTGCTGCATGACGAATGCGCAATATCTTCGGACGCGAACGCGGCTGCTGCAGAGCGCATTAGGCGCAAGATTTACAACGGTGAGGATACGCGCGCGTCGCGTTCGCGCCCGCGCAACTAACACTGCTTCCGCGCCTTCGTCATGCAGTAGCCTTTACATCTTTATTCTGTATGTCTAGTTGCTCCAACTTTATGGCCTCCTGATTACTTGTCTTTCACGTATTGGAAAAATTTGTGCAAACAGTGGTCGTATTCATCAACGAACCCAGTGGGTTCCGGAACCCACGAGAACTGGGTAACTTGTTTCGTGGATACCGGTATGCTTGACTTTTGGGTTCCCGAACCCACTGGGTTCGCCCGTGAATACCGGTTAAGTGTCTTTTTGTGGGTTTCAGAACCCATTGGGTAGGCTTAACCCACATAATCGGTATTCACGAAACTACTGGGTTCCGGAACCTAGTGGGTTAAGCCTACCCAGTGGGTTCTGGAACCCACAAAAAGACACTTAACCGGTATTCACGAGCGAACCCAATGGGTTCGGGAACCCAAAAGTCAAGCATACCGGTATTCACGAAACAAGTTACCCAGTTCTCGTTGGTTCTGGAACCCAACTGGGTTCATTGATGAATACAGCCCCAGGGGCTCAGCACAGTGGCAGTGGTATTATATTTTAGCGACCTCAGTTCTGACCCGTACTTTCCGCAAGAAGGACAACGCTCACATCAGATTAAAGTGCAAATTCGCGTAAATGCATTGTTTTTCCGCTGTACTTATTTAGTACAAAGCTAGCTTGTCTTCCTCACCAGGACTGTGTTAGTATCAAATTACATTCTTTTTGCGAGAGTGTTTTCTTATCATTTGCTTTTAGTTTGTAAGGATTTTTTGGACTTCGTTGAATTTGGAAACTGTTAGAATGATTTGAAACATTTTTCATGATTTATATCAAGCAAGAGTCTAAAATAATGCAGAAAATGTCTTTGCATTCGACTTCTCAAATTTTTGAAGGCAGTGCCTAAGTAAATCCAAGTACGTGGAATTCTTGTGTGAAAACTGATCTGAAGACCATGAGTAAGCAATTGCTCAAGCGGCAGCACACATGATTCACCCATGACGGAGAGATTTAGCTTTGAACTGAAACCCAGACCGTAGCTCCTACAGTACTCGGGGCGCTGATTGGCCAGCTCGAAATGAGCTACCCTTTGATTCAGCGGTATTGGCGGGTGGAAGGCGGGGCATCGAAGCCTAATCAAGGTTAGTGCATGATCGAAAAGCATGGTCGCGGGCGAGACGCAGACTGCGTGGCGGGTGCGAGCGGTCGCCTTTCATCCGCCAATCCCGTTGAATGAAGGGTAGGTAGAGTTTAGCCCTCAATTGCGATTGGATCATACGTGTTGCCGTTAGGGCTAGGCTTAGCTAGGGCCATATAGAAAGAGCGGCTCCTTAGATTTTTATTTGACACGACATTCAAATTGCTGCTTCAGAAATGGTGCCTACAGGAGCAAAGATTAAAGGAGAAACCTAATCCACAAAATCGACATAATGGGGGTGTTTTTCGGCTTTTAGTTTCATGTTTCCTATTAGAAGAATGTTGCTTCAATAGATTTGCGTGAAATGGGGTTATTGATTTTTTTACAAATGGATTGACATGAATGGGTTTTCTTCCTACTACCTGTTTTCAAAAATTTATTAAATTGTTATGCATATTTAATATTCGATTTAGCTGCAGAATATTCAAAAAGTACACGGAGTGGGCGGAGCCTGTCTACCGCTTCTTTAAATTTTTTTCCCACGCGTTCTGCATATGGGGTGGTCCCATTGGCAGCCGCGCGGCTTCCATTCATCTCTTCAAACGCATTCTCCTCTCCTCGGCGCTTGCACTGCTCTGGCCGCCGTGGTTGCACTTTTCTATTGAATATAACGCTTTTGCTAGGTTTGAATGATTAGAAAGACGTTGCTTTGACAGCTCAGAGCTTGTCTTGTCAGTTATTCCAATCGAAATTTTTTGGCAAGGAATCCAAAAAAGGAATTGTTTTACACAGCTGTCGATTTCGGATGAAATTGGTTGAGCCAAAATTGCAACTGGTAGTTTCCAATCGAGTGCAATTCTAAGCTGACTAAAAAACAAAAAAAAATAAAACGAGAATAAAAAATAAGTGACGATAAAAAATGTACATTATGAGCATTAATTATTTCTGTTGGCAAACAAATGAGTAGAATTAATTTTTTTTTGAATTTAAGATTCGCGCGCCACAACAAATATTCTCGGACTCCTGCAAAATTTTCCTGTTTCATTGTTTCTATGTAATGTAAAAGTGTCTGAACTAGAACGATGCTTCGGTTGTCTGAACGAAAGTCCAGGAATGTAAATTCAATTTACAAAATTTTTCAATTATAGAGTTGCAAGCTCCGATATTATGCAAAAATTGGCTTTAATTCAGTTAGTTTCCTTTTTTGGTCTTTGCTTCCCCTCTCAATTCAGACTATCGGTTTTTCTTTGAACGTTGCACTACGCCATTATATGAGCCCATTTATCGCCATCATTTTCCAAGTTCTGCGTTCAAGTCCTGGGTTCTTGAATGTTCCAAACCTACATAATGATGGATATTCAAACCAATACCAGTTTCTTTCAATGTCATCATAAAATCTAACCATGAGGTTTGAATTTTGCGAATTTCTAGAGATACGTTTTCATTTTTGTTTGAGTTCTGCTTCCGAGCCTCTCTTTGCCCATAACAATCAAAGTATTTTTGCTGATCCACTTATTTACATTTAATTCTGCCGTAAAAGGGCTGACCGCAATCTAAATTCACAGTATGAGTTAGCTGACCGCCTCGCTACTGTAAGGCTACGGGAGGAACTCCCTTCCATCCACGTAGCAATGGTCTAATTCATCTGTCCCAAAACGAAAATTTTGATGAATTGGATAAGCGAAAAAAGTAGCTTTTACGATATTATTTGGTATTTTTCAAAAACACTGCGAATATGGAGTATTCAGGAAATTCGTTTTCTTCTATAGGAAGATATGCAAACTTTTAGCACACTTCAACGGCCTAAATAGAAGAAATTTCCAAAAGCCAAGATATCAAAGTCGCTTTGATTTGCACAAGGAATATTATTTGCATAAGGCTCAAGTTCTGCTATACCATGACATTTATAAGAATAATAAGCCGAAAATTTTGAATTTAGATCCAAGTTAGAAGAATCTATATTGCTTCTCGATCACGTGTTCAGAGATATAACAAACTTAATTCTTGAGTTTTTAGGAGAACAAATATTTCTCAAACTATTTCAGTCACAGACATATGGAGAGGTTTTTTTCGGTCAAACAAACAGAAGAATAAAAATTTTTCAGAATTACTTTTTTTTTCGATCACAGAAAGATGTGGAAAAACTTTTGAGTTATCTTCTAGGTTTTCCAGTCACATGACCAAACCTGAGAAGTTATGCTATGAATGATAGAAAAAGAGTAAGTGTACATATGCCATGAAGACTGCAGAAAAAATTCTTGAAAGAGGTGGAAATCAATAAATATTCTTTGTTTTTTCTGTCAGTTTTTCGGCAAACTTTCCATGCTTATCCCAACAATCCTACCTTTACCGACCCCCTCAGCTTCTTATAAATGCTGAATATGCTTGTGCTTCATTTCTTTGTCAAATCCGATGTCATACGGGCTATTTTGGAGAATTTAGCTAGCCATTCAGGCATGCTTTGCTTTCCACGATAGATAGCAAACATCAATCTTTCCAGGCACTCCGTTAGCCCTTTTGATTCCCAAAGGGCGCATCACTCACTGAATTTCACTAGTCATATAAAGTCCATTGCACTTTTCAAAACATTCACTTTATCCCGTTCCCTTGCGCGGGACAGTCATAATGTCTTCGGAATAGGAAGATGGACGTTTTTGCTCGTGTTTTCAAGGTTGAACGAGATTGTTATGGGGCAGATTTGAGCTCATCGTCAAAATGTCGTCGTAAACAAAATTTGCGCCGAAGTGGGCGATGTGTATAGCATACTTATGCAGCTGCTGGCATTTGTTTTGCATGCGACCTAAAATGATTATTCATGCGGAGTTCTGCTTTTTAGACCACCTACGCCGTTTGCGGCACGGTCCACTTGCTTTCTTTGGCGTTAGTCGAGAAACTTTTGATTTTGGGAAGCATTATGTTTTGCGAATGTTTTGGGCATAAAATTTTAGCTATGCGCAGTCTGCTCCCCGGACGCCCACCCAGTCTGCGGTGCGGTTCATACGTAACCTTTGTTTCAACTGGCTTGGCGGCTACGTTACCTTTGTTTTAAATGGCTTGGCGGCTGGAAGGCGGGGCTTTATGACCTAGTTTAGATTGCTCGCGCCCGCGATGCAGTCTGCGTCTCTGTCGCGCGCGCTATCATTATCTAGCCTTAATCAGATCACCAAGTCCCGCCTTCCAGCCGCCAAGTCAGTTGATAACTACTTTCATAAAGCGTTTAATTGAGAAATGTTCATGTTCTGTGCTGGAATGAATAAGAGAATGCTTTGAAGGGGAGAAATTTATCAGTTAAATTAAGAAAAAAATTAAATCATGCAGCATTTTATTACTCGGACCGCCCATGCAGTTTGCGGCGCGCTCAGCGAGCAAATTGTGATTTTCAAAAACTCCCCGTCTCAAATTTCTACATTCTCGGGCTTCTTCTTTTTCGGCTGCAAATTCGTCTTTGACTCCGCAGGCCAAAAGCTAAATCTACTGAGAGCCATAAGCTATCTGCTTTCACTCTTTCTAACCCTCTTCCATAAATCTGCCCCATTGCGAGAGAGTTCATGAGGATTAGGCGCGCCTAAGCTTCCGGCGCCTATTTCTCTTCTTTCAATGCACCCTGGTATTAGAATTCCATTATGTCTAGCTAACAAGATGTGGAAATTGAATTCGGCTGAGATTTATTCGAAAACAGAGGCTTTTCCTTTTCTAGATCTTTCGAGTATTGTTTAGGAAAGAACTCTCCCGGAAACGTCATATTCACTGCAGAAAATCGTATTTTTCCAGCACACGACTGCAGCGCCTTGTTTTCTATTTTTTACGAGCGGCTGATTTTGAGTCCCAAGTGTATGTCTTGGTTACTCAAATGCTCTTTTTATCCCGGAAGTCAAATTTCCAATTGCTGCATCCGACACTCACTGGAGCGTTTTCCTTCAGCTTTTCTTTCAACAGGTTTCTTTGATCTTATACGGAGGGCAGCATAAAAATGCACACTAGTGTTAGTTTGATGGATTTTTTCACATACCCTTTAGCTTTCTTGATGCGGGAAATTTCATAGTTCAGGACTTGAAGATTCTAGAAATGACTCATGATTCTTTAAATATACAAAGTAAAATAAATCAAATCAGTTTTTATGCCAATGATTGTGTCTTTGCATTCTTTTGGTACCTACACCTTGGGCAATGAGATTTAAATTTTTCCGAAAGTCAGAACATTTTTGAAGGTTGTTAATCTCAAAGAGAAACAATCTATCGACCTAAAACATGAATAATGTCCAAATTCGAGCACATAAATAAAAATGTTGCCTCCATTTTATTGACCTACAAGCTCCAGCTGCAAGGTTCCATTTTTACGCAAATTCTCAATTCATAATCGCTTTTCATTTCATTTTGATCGTATCAAAAACTTTTCTAGCAGATTCTTTGTCTTTGCATTGTGTTACTGGTATCGAGTTATCAGAAAGTAGATATTTTATTCGACTTAAAAAATCTATCTCGCTTTTATTTTTATTTTTTATTGGGGAGCACATTTAGGAGGTCGTCTGAATACAGTACATACCTGTACGAGCTAGTCTCAGGTTCAAAAACCAGAACCAAACAAAAAATTTTATTGGTAATAGAGAGATTTTCAGTGATCGTATGTCTACTGAACTTTTCGATCTCATTACTTCAAGAAAAACCTTGACAATTTTATCATCAACGCACCAAAGAGGATTCAAGACGATGATGACTCAGAAATTGGGTTTTTCGGGTTTCGCAAGCAATTTCCACCAAGCTTTAGCAATATCTTTCTAGTTTATTTGCAGAAGGTCTTGCTCTACATCTCTATCAATATTTTCGAACACGTGAGAATGTTGCTTTTTCCAAATAGCATCTTCCACCGTTATTTGCTTCCCTTCTTCGGAACACACAATATCTTCTTGCTATTTCAGTGTTTTCTTTGAAAGGGAATTCTTCAGTGTTTCTAATTTCTTCGAGTTTTTTTATTCGGGACTAAAGCAATAAACTTTGCATGACTCCATCAACAGCGAAATGTTGCAAGTCGCCCTCTACTCAGCATGTACTTCCTCTTCCTTTTTATTGCTTTTATTCTTTGGCGTTGAACGCAATCATTGGGATTCTGCAGTTGGAAGCAACTAATTAGATGTTGGGCCTGGCCCATATAGGGTGCATGCAAGGTTCATGGAAATAATGTGATATTTGCAAGATTTTGATGCTTATACGGTTTGCAATCATCATATTAGGCTAACAATGCCTTTTTTTGTAAAATGTGGGTGTTTTCCGTGATCTATGATTCGCAATTAGTTGTGCAAACTCTATACCTTTTTTTCTATTTCTCTTAGTAATGTAAAGAAACACAGCATAGTATCTCAGGCAGTTAAAGGCAGTGTCCGGGCAAAAACTCGATTTCTAGGAAATCCACTTACCGGGGGTTATCAGCAACGCTGATTCCGAAACTCCACATTAGAAGGCGCGAAAACGGCGAGAACGTATGTTTTTCAAAGCCGCACAATTTGAAATCCGACGGTCCCCGCCAAGGCAGAGACGCAGAGTCGCTGCGGGACCCTACATTTTAACTGTGGCGGCATGCGTACTCTGCCGCATAGCAGGAATTCGGACAGCTCGGAGGACCCCGCCCCAAGGCGTAAGTTTCCCCACTTTCCGGTCGTTTTTCTTGCTTTAAGTCGAGCGTTAAGGTCTCGCACTTGCGCGAAGTTGTGTCGGAGGGGGGGGAGGGAGGCACCCTTGCATGGCACTGAAATCCCAAAACCCCATCTTGCCCGGACACTGCCTTTAACACAGATTCTGCAAGATTCTGAAAAAAATCCATTTCAATCATATTCTTTCATCAAGTTTCAATTTCAATCCCCAACGGATTGGCTGTTTAACACCTTTGTTTTGTATCTCTGTGACCTATCGAATGACAGCTACTTACAGTCTAGCAGATTAAGTGGAAACGGTGCCCTTGTGGTGTCGACAACATTCGGGCGTGAAAATGGTCGTAGTTCGCACGTCTACGCCCTAGAGCCATTTTTTAGTGCAAATGCTGCCTTTAAGCAAGGGCACTATCGACCATCATGTCTACTAGGCCATTTGAAATCCGCGCCAATATTTTCGTGAGGCCCCGGATAGACTTCACGCGATTTGATCGTCGCGACTCAATCGCCGACATTTCCATTCATTTTCATTTCAAATTCAAAAATTTCGGGCTGGAAAAGTATCACAACCGAAATGCAAGCTGGTCGGCATGCAATGATATTGTAACAGTTGTGTCGTCGCTATTCAGTCGCGACGATCAAATCGCGTGAAGTCTGTAAGGGGCCTGAAGCACACGTGAAGCTCTGCGTCGTCTTGTGGATAACCTCAGTCACCTGAAATTGAGATAAAAGCCAAAACCCACTATCCAATATTCTTCAAATGTGCTGTTCCTATTTAAATAGATAAAATATACGCGCTAGAGTTGAGAATTAACCTCTTGTTGCCGCTTGCTTGTGTAGTTATCTAAATCTTATAGTCTGAACTTTGACCAGAAGCGATCATAATATGATTCTTCAAAAAATATTCTTCTTTGCAACCCTTGTTATGTTGACTGCTTTTTAATAATTCTTCAATCGAATTTCAGGCTAACGTACCCGAGCCACTTGTCTCTCCAAATACGACAATGATCCGTCAACCGAGTATATTCGGTATGCGAGTTGAGCTACCAGCCGAAGATCCATTTGGTTATGAGTGAGTCTATTATTTCTACTTTTTCTTTGTTCCCCTCTAGACCCATTTCAGCTTTCGTTTACGTATGATTATGATTTTCCTCTATGCTTTTGTTTACATTCCACTTTTCCCAAAAATCGTAGAAGTCACTCCTTTTCTCCCCTCCATTTTCCCTCCTAAATTCGATTGCTCCAAAATTACTTTGAGTGGTCACTCTCCTCGCTTCCCCCCCCCCCCCTTTACTTTCTCTGATCTTTCCGAAAGGCCGTATGGGTGATTACTTCATTCTCTAAACCATCTTCCCAATTAGTTTTTCTAAAAGTTTTCCGACTAATCCTTCTTTTCCCCTCCACCTCCGGTTCCGCATTTCCCTCCTCTACCTACATTTTGATTTATTCTTATACGTAACATTCTCTTGTCTGCACTATACTCTATCCAATTTTTGACTTTCTCGGTGGTTTTTAATGAGTGTTCATTCTCTTCCCTTCCTTTCACTCCACACTTGATTTTTCCGGAGCTCGAGTGATCTTCCTTCTCTTTTTTTTCCCAAATTTTTTCTCTGAGTTCTTATGTGGTAGTTGTCTTTTTATTTCTCCTCGCTTGCTCTTATTTCAAGTTTCTTAAGAAGAGTTTCTTGTTAGAACTCTTGAAAGTGATCAATTTCTTACACTTCCTCTTCCTCCCTTCCACATTGAGTACTTATCGGAAATCTTTTAAACGATGATTCTTTTCTCCATTCCCACATCCACACTTTGATTGCTCCGAGAACTTCCTATGACGAATTGTTGTCTTCCCTTTCCCAACCCAAACCCACATTGCGTTTATTAAAATTAGCTGATTTTAGCAAACACGGAGTATGTATCGTCACTCCCGACGAGCAATTCAAAGTTGTGATCTATGGCAATCATTTGGATAAAATTGCTCAGCTTATGTTTACTCCGACAAACAACTGTACTGACGGAAAACATGTCGTCGACGCCACTAACGATTTCATCGTTCATTTCACACACAAGGTAGGGAAAGGAAAAGTTTTTCGAGTTTAGAAATCGGAACAGCAAAGTATATAGAAAGAAGATGTGGAAAAAGCTTGCACAAATTGTTTGCGTTGAGAGCATGAGATCGTGTTTTTATTGGTCCGGAAATCACGGTATCGAATTTCAGGCTACATTCCATCTAATGCTACCAATGCTTCCGGAAAGCATTCATGCGTACAAAATGTGTGTTAAACCGAAAGGTGCTCCGCTAGGGTTGGAACTGAGTCCGGTGGGGAATAGGAGTGCTTATTCGAGATGAAAAATAGCGTTATTTTGATTTTTATAGCTTGACGATGTATCCACATGGATTACAACAGAGAAACCACCAAAAGAGTACTTCTTGCCGTTGCCAGTACAGGTCAGTAGTAAATATTGTCAAAAAAATTAGCTTCTCCACTGTCAACCAACTTTCAAACTCTTTTTGCCAAAAAAAGTTTTCAAGAGGGTCTCCGAACTAATTTGAGCACTCATAGAAAGTTCGTTGTCACATAACAATTCGACGACCGCGTGATACACACGGTGACTCATGCAATGAATCCGTGATGCACATGGTGTATCACGGCTCGGATTTGTTTTAATAACGACTACAGTGGAGTTTTACGCTTGATACAGACTTGATTTTTACTAATTGTAGGTATACTGTAATGACAGTTTGCATGTTCCACCTGAAAAAAGACTGGACCGTAAAAGGCTTGGTCTCAAAAGGCAAACCAAAAAAATGCGCGTGGTCGTCAATGTGTTAAGCCCTTGCACTTGTAATAATCAGAAAAAACTCCCAAGTCTTCCCCCCCGCACCTCCTCCCTTTCCTCTCTTTCTTTCCCTTTCCGTTCATTTTCTATTTCAGATAATGGTGATTGCATTTCTTCTCAGCCTCTCAGCTCTATTCTCAGGTCTCACACTTGGCCTTATGTCGTTAACTCCTCAGGAGTTGGAACTTGTCATGAAAGCTGGTTCACCAAATGAACAGAAATATGCTTCACTGATTTTGCCGATAAGAAAGAAAGGCGAGTTTTGTTTTTATATTTTCTGACGGCAAACGACGAAGGGGGCGTGAGAGGGAGTGGGTAGGATTACTGTAGATTTTGCCGAGACAAAATTTTGAAAAAAAAAACTTTGCAAGCTTTCTTTTCCTCATTCTTACTCTACCCCGACGTAAATCTGCAAAAACCACACTAGCAAACGTTTCTGGAATCAAGGGCTATATTTTTCTTCCAGGAAATCTTCTTCTTTGTGCTCTTCTTCTGGGTAACGTTATAGTAAATGCTGCTATTTCTATTCTATTCGGTCAATTGACTACTGGTCTGCTGGCTCTTCTTGTTTCATCGCTTGGAATTGTCATTTTTGGCGAGATCGTACCACAGAGTATATGTGTCAAGTAAGACTTTCGCTTCATAGAAAAAACGTTGGAGGCATTTTGCGCCTACAGTATGCTACCGTAGCCTAAACGCATGGGAGGCAGTTGTGCAAGGTTAGCCTTTTTTGCTGATTTTTGATTCTTTTTGTTGACGATTGTGCGGTAAGGCAGGTTTTCTTGTGCTATGTCGCCGGAGATTACGGTAGCAGTACCGTATGGACTAGAAATATGCCTTTTTGTCAAAAGAAAAGTACTATTGTAAGCTTTTCGATTCTTTGAATTTACAGGAAAGGTTTAGCTGTTGGTGCACATACAATAATGATAACGCAAATATTTATATTTATCACTTATCCCATAGCATGGCCTGTAAGCAAATTATTGGATTATTTGCTTGGCGACGAATATGTGGGTTTTTATTTCATTATAGCTTGTTACAAGCATATTTTTGTAAACTTTTTCCGCAAACATGAATTTTCCGCGAACCTAGTTGTCATAATATCGAAAATTATAGCAAGCTTATGACCGGAAGCGTTTGATGGAATTGATTCGTATGTCTATCAAAGATGATGATGGAATGGTGTCGAATGAGTTGAAGATTGCAGTTGGTGCGATGGAAATAGCAGATAAAGTAGTAGAGGATGTCATGACGAAGTTGGCGGTAAGTAAAAGTTTCTATAATTTGAGATTGTTTTTCTTGATTGATTTATGCGGAAGTTATGGTATTTTCGAAATGTAGCTGAAAAACGAGTTCTGCTAGACTCATAAAGCTTGAAATTTCCGTTACTTATGGAAGATTATTTATGCTATGTAGCACTTTTTAGGATGTATTTATGATACCCGACACAACTGTACTCAACACCAAGACCGTGGCCGAAATAGTCAGAATGGGCTATACTAGAATTCCTGTCTACTCTGACGGTGACAAAAATAACGTTACTGATCTTTTATTTGTCAAGGTAAGGTGATGCTGCAAATATTCAAATATGCTACAAAGTTCAATACTCTTCAGGATTTGGCTCTTCTTGACCCAGACGACAACTTTACTGTCAAGACCGTATGTGGCTATCACAAGCACCCTGTAAAGTTTGTCTTCAATGACACACCATTGAGTATTCTGCTGGAAGCATTCAAGAAGGTGAGTTCAAGAATTAGTTCTGTTTGAAAAGTCGGAATAAAACTTAATGAAAATAAATTTCAGGGAGAAGGACATTTGGCTATGGTAAAACAACTCAACAGTTCTGAAGACCATGATCCTACTTATGAATTGGTTGGTGTGGTCACACTTGAAGATATCGTCGAGGAGATCTTGCAAGTAGGATTTTTTCTGCAACCTTAGATAAGGGAATAATAGGGAATTTCAGGCGGAGATCAACGACGAGTTCGATGTTGTCTCGGATAATGTGAATAAAATCAAGAGGAAAAATCTTCAGGTAATTTTTCGAAAAATTGCCAATAGCCAAAAGCCAGTCACGCCACGTCCTCCTTACATGAATGAATCTTGGAGTTTTTGCTTAATAAATCGCTCTCATCTTGAATAACCAGCATTATTTTTTTAAAATAAAGAATTTCTGTGGCGCACGATTGTGCCCAATTTTTTAAGCTATCATGATATTTTCCAGAATTTACATATTAGGTTGTCTCGAAATGTCCGTTTTCTCAAACCATTGTAAAACCACGCACAATGAAGACCTGAAGGAGCTTCAACATGCATTCGATGCAGCTTTTCCTTCTCTTTTTTACGGTTACATTTTCGTACCAAAATCCTGTATGCTTTTTCTGATAATTGCTAAAATTCTTCGCCCGTCATTTTTATCTTTTAAAGTTCAGTTAATTTTTGAAAATTTCGTCCCATGGTTTCGGAGAAGTTCATGTATGGCTCAAACAAAGCAATTCTCGGACTATATGGCCATATTTTCAGATTCTCTTAATCTAATGTTTTGAGCTTCAAAAAACTGTTTCTTCGAAAGTCTCGATTTTTAGTAAAGTCATGAAACACGCAATTGCGGCAAAAAACATGAAAACTTTCAAAGTTTTCCAAATTGAAGCTTGTTTTATTATTAAACAATATTTATGCAACATAACCGAATTTGATTTGCTTCAAAAATCTTCAAAAATCTGCTTTTTGGAATTTCCGGTAATCTTACATGGTAAACATAATCAAAAAGCCGCAGTTTTTCTTAAATAAATAATTATTATAACCTGATAAACGTGGTCTACTTAATCTAAAATAAGCACGTTGTTGCCAAAGGTTTGCTCTACTCAACAGTCATTAGCGCTCTTTGAGAAAAGCAGTATAAAGATTTTTAAAAATTAGAAAAATTTGGCGTTACTGCTGATGTGCTCAAAAAGCCATGGCTATAATATCGCAAAGAGACAGGGTAGATTAGAGACCAAATACAGCTGTAAGAAAGAGCATGAAAATATGAATCAAATGGTCCCTAGGTCGTCCGTGGATTAGTGTTCTGTGAGTTTTAGTGGGCGATGAAAGAAACCGACAAAACCTTCGGGACAACCTAATATAAGCACATCACTACTCCTTAGGCTATTGTAGATGGATAACTTTGAGCCATAATTGTGGTACATTTCATCAGAATTTTTTTCAGCAGCGTGACTTATCCAAACTGTATGACAAGGACGCTCCACAAGTTCAGATTTCACTACAGGTTTGTTTACCCTTTCTCCACTTTCTCTTGCACTGATAAATATTACGAAGATGCTAATGGATTAGAGTTAGGCATTCAAAAGCTTAGATTTGAATGGCCTCATGGATCCAACTGAGAATATCTTAAATTTTCTACTTTTCTTATTCAAAAGAATAGCGTTTCTCAGCTATGATAGGGAACAACTGATGAGATCTTTCTCGACTGTCGGTTCCGTACTTGGGAGGGCAAGCGTTAGGCGACAAAACGTGCAAAACGCAAGCAACGTAAATCCCGTAACTCAAAACTATGCACCATTTTTTCATTGGCGTCGGGTAATGTATCGGCCCCGACTCCCATCCCCCTGTTTTTGGCGGAGGAGACGTTTTGCACGGGGAGTTCTTTGGGGTCCAAAAAATTGGGTTTGTTGCCTAACGCCCTACACCCCCGTACTTGGCATAGGATTAATTAACTATCTGCGGAAGTCTATCCTCGTATTCCCATCCCCATAATTTTCAAAAGTGACGTACAGAGCACGAGTGGATAACAGCATTAGTGATTTCTAGCATGTAATATGTTCATGTGTCCTCTAAATGAGATTCTCTCTAGATGCAAATGGTAGCACTCCAATGGTTAGTGGCAAATGAGGAAGCTTTTTCATCGACCTACATAGATAGCAATGTATTGGAGCGTTTGATAAGAAACTGTGCAAGAAGGGTGAGTTCTGAAAGATTGTCTTGAAAATGGCACCTTGTAGAATCTTCGTTAGATTTTAATGCAATTTAGATTAGAATAAACGTTTTGCTTACAGGTTGACATCTCTGCCATTATGGCGATGTCTCATGATGAAGTGAATGTACCCAGACTAGCGAAGCTTTACACCAAAGATGAAATCAGTGATCGTTTTGTTCTTATCCTGGAAGGTCGCGTGCAAGTCACCATTGGACAGAGCGGAATGATGTTTGAAGCCGGTCCTTGGCACTGTTTTGGTGGTGAAATATTGAAGAAACTGGTACAAGGGGCTGCCACCTTAAGTAGAAGTACCTCAATTGTTGGTGAGTTATCACAGCTTTTGCCTGAATTTTTTTTGATTAGTTGTAACTTTTCAGATACGTCTGATCTCTCTTGTCGCCGTCCCGATCTCATGTTCAAGCCTGACTATTCCGTTGTTGTGAAAGAAGATTGTACTTATCTAGATGTTAGCGTTGCCGCTTATATTAATGCCTATAAGTCAACACTTATGCAAAGAGAAAAAGGGTTGGTTGGCTTGTTTTTCAAATCCACAAAATGACCCATTTTGCATTTTATCACATTACATCGTCCACTGATGTAAATGTATTTACAATCATGTTATTCAGCCGAGACGACATGTCTATAGATGGCGTACCCCTGTCCTCTTGTTCCCCTTCACCACCTACAAAACGGAAGAACACTCATTCAAATTCAGTTAGAAAAGAGGTAATTTTCAATTTGAATGCCATGCTGACTTCATTAATAATGATCTTAGTTTAAGTTATACGTGATTATGATTTGAGGAAGGCTTTGAGCTGCGGTATTAATCCTACATTGATTACAAAAACGCCAGTCTGAGCCTACACTGCATAGCAGGAGGTTTTCGTTCAAGCGAAATCATGCTCAGTGTAAGCTCTGAATGGTCTTTAGGGCAAGATTACCGCTTACAAGGGAAAGATACTCGGTGACCGTGGCCTTTTGAAATTAAAAGTAAACATTGAGTGCACCTTGAGGCGCTAAATCCAAATCCGCTTTCGGTATCTGCTGTGCGCTCTTCTGAAAGAAGTCATAAATATTTCTTGCCACTAGAATTTGCACTGTTTTGATGATAGGAATCACCAACATTGTTGGAATGTTCATTACGCACTACAAAAAAGCGCCAAGATAAAATAAAGCTTTACATCAAGCTCAGAAAAACTGTCTTTTATATATCGGATTCTAAAAAGCCTGAATACGATGATTCTGACTGCCTAAATCTCGTGGAAATAATATGGAAAAAAGTCCACAACTTCATTCAGAGAGTCGCACAGCAGATAATGAACACAGATTTGAAATCACCGGTAGATTCAAGGCGCATCTACCGGTGTACGTCCCACTGCAAAAGGCCACGGTCACCTAGTCTTTACTTGTTAGTTTAAAAGAGCCTTCAAAGCTATTCTCATTCTTACTTTAGATGTAATTAACTGAACAGTGCTTATTTTTTTACTTTGTCTATTGGTATTTTTACTAACGTTTGTAATTAATATTTGCTGTAACGTTCCGCTTGATTCAATTTATTACGATGCATTTCCAAGAGCACTATGTAGGTGAGCGAGATTCAAAGCACAAACTTGCAGTCGGCTCCAATCCTCGATCCGTCGGCGCTGCTTGTGCCTCCTATTAAGGTGCACACGTCACTGATCGAGGCAAAGGAAGCCGTCAAGGCACTGAACGCCAGAGAGAACGGCATCTCTCTTGACAATGAGGTTGGTGCATATAAATATTATGCTTTCACATGTTTAGTAGATATCGTCGGCGAAGAAGCATGGGAAATAGTTGCAATATACCAAATTGTTGAAAAGTTCGCAAGGAAGTACAAGAAGTTGTAGTGGCTTTTTGGCTTGAGATAGGCGTTGACATGGAAACTCCGTTCGCAGAAAAAGTGGGAGTTATTGAATTTGGTTTGCCAGAAGTGCACAGGTTTGAGAGCAGCCGGAAAAATCAATCATATAGTTCTTCAAAGCCTAATATAATCCTGATTTTGTCCCTGATGTTCTACAGCGCGCAACAGGCATTAGAACGAATTTGATGGTCATGGGTAGCCCTAAGCAGCGCGAATTTTGGTAATGATTTAAGATTTGTTCTGCATATTGTCGAAGGCACTATCGTTTTCAATGGGCGTTCCAAGTTGCATGGTTGATACCTATCTCATGTCAAAACAACCGCAGGTCCATGTATATCCAGAAGCAATTTTTTAAGCTAGTTTGCCCCTCAATCTGGTTTTACGGGCTGTCCACATGAGGTGTAACAGGCTATGAAAACTCATTTTTTACATTTTTTTTGCAGCATGCGTAGCATTACCCTCATCGTTTCCTCCATATTATATCTGTTATAGCAAATTGATATTGCGCAGAGATAAAAAATTTGAGCGTTTCTTGTTGTTGACTGAGATCTGAGGAATTTGAATAGTGCCTGTTAGTGCAAGCGCTGCTGAAAAGCGCATTTTCGGTTCGGGAATCTGTGAGATCAAGCAAATTTGTGAAAACTTGCGGGAACTTGGGGAAATGCTAAAATCATGAAAAACTCATGGAAGAAAAGCAAAGGCAACTGCACAAGTTTGTATCTGCTTCACTCATTAAATAATCCATGGTTTCAATTTAATCTCAACGAAATTACTGACCTTTCGATTCAGATTCTTATGAGAAGTTTTATATTCACTTCTTTCCTTCTTTAAAATTTTGTTTATAGTGGTTCTTTTAACACTACTCTCATAATTTTTTATACGTTATGGGCAGCAAAGCCGTAAGCTGCAAGTTCACTGCTTTTTGAATTGTTATAATGATGCAATGCACTGCAAAGAATCGTTGACTTTTTTCGTGTATTTTGTTTATTTTTATTTTTATTTTTTATTGTTAAATCAAATTAGCGTAATTTATTATGCTTTCAGGAAGAGATGAGCTTACTGTTATCCGACTCAAAGCTCCTAGAAAACGTCTAACTTATACTGTACATACAGTATTTATTCGTTGTTCAGACTTTATCTTTTACGGGTACACATTTGATTGAAGTTGTTTATGAATCCTTGGACTACAGTTGCCACAATCAGGAATTTTTTGCCTTTCGTATCAATGATAGCGTTTATTATAGTTCACTGATCTCAAATCTCAGATTGTTGACTGTTTTTAGTATCAAGAATTTGCCAGCATTATTTCATTCTGTAACTTACATTCTAGCAATGTGTCTGTGAATTTGTGAAACCAGACATGTTAATTAGTGCCTTTTGCAGAGGAATTTATAGTTTTAGTTCATTGTTGTTAGTTCTTGAGATAATAAAATTTGTTTGTAGTTCTCTGTACCACGTAAAAACTTAATTGTCAAAGAAATTGTCTTTTTCGAGTAACGCCTTTTTTCTCCGCAATGTGAGCGGATCGCTCACGGGTGGCAGTTATTACACAGTAAGAAAATTGAGGACTAGTCCGGTGTTTTTTCTTGATATCTGATCAGGTTTTGGGTTCTAGATTTACCGTCAATGCCACTTGTGATGATTTAGATCGATCCAAGAAACTTATTGGTATGCTCGCTACATTAAGAAGATATCTTTAATAAGAAAATCGTCTCGTTCTCATGTGTATCCCACTCTGTGCAATAAACGACAAAATTCTTCTTCGAAACTTACGATCTTGATGTTGATGCTGGAAAAAATTGGAAATTTTACGTATGTATGCTGCGCTGTGATGTTGCACCAAATTTTCCACCTTTCCCTTTTCAACCCATCGTCTGACTGCTAAAATGAAATTTGATAGCACCGAAAAAAACGACCGCTAAGAGAAAGCCTGTGTTCCCTTTTGAACTATAACTTCTTTTGGCAAAGGATGCAAATTACCTTGTCAGTTATTTGAAGCCTTTGCATAAAGAGTAATTGCGTTTTGTCGGAATTGCATCTATCTTATCAGCAAAAGAAGCTTTTCTACAAACGTTCTACACTAGATGTTCTTGATGTAATTTTGTCTTGTATATGTTTTTGGTTCATATTGAGTTCTGATGAGTCGGTATGCTTGAATCCTCGATTAAAATTAGTGCCAACATGAAGGCTAAAGGTGACTGCTCAGTGTGACATACACCTTGTTCGAAAATGCTACGGGTTGATTACAAAGCCGAAAAAGGGATTTTTCAAAGTGCCGTAGACTGCATTGCCGTCCACGTCGTCGCCAGTTAACTAAAACTTACCACAACTTGACAAACATCTTTCAAATGGTTGATAATTCAGACGTTATATGCAGAAAAAACTTTATATGTTATATTGTTTCACAAGAATCACAGGAGAAGCACAGCCTAATAGGCCGGGCATACTTCACGCGATTTCAGTCGCGACGCGATTTGGCAATTCGCCAGAAGTCAGACCCAACACTAGCAAACTGCACATGCATAGTGTGTATAACTTACGTGAACTGATAAAATGCCCTGTCTTTTGTACATTTAAAATGTGCTTACAATGGGTTATGGACAGTTGGAATATTGCCAAATCGCGTCGCGACTGAAATCGCGTGAAGTATGCCCGGCCCCTAAGACCTTGGGCAGAGTTCACGCGGTTTTATCGTCGATTCATGGCCCCAAGACAAATGTTACGAGTTCACTGCATGCCAACCTTCTTGCATTTCGGTTGTGATAGTTAGTCACGATTAGTCGTGTTGGAAAACTATCACAACCGAAATGCAAGAAGATCCGCATGCAATAGTATTCCTACAGTTGTCTTGTCGCAATCAATCGCGATGATGAAATCGCGTGAACTCTGTCCGAGACCTAAAGGGGTAGTGAAATTTGCAGAAGTGCATTCGAAACAGGTTGTTATACCATGTACTAACAAGCTTTTGCAGACAACCATGTTCAAATAGTTCCAAACTGATAAGAGCTTATCAATTTTGGAACTATAACTTTGAACAATGAACGATTCTATGCATAAAGTCATTCTTCCAAAAAATTTCAAAAAAATCAATCAGGAGAGATTTGTAGAGAATTATTAATGAAGTCCTGGAAGATTTGCTGCTTTTAACCACCTGCTTTTAACTGCCAGTATTAAGCTAATGAAATTAAACCTTAGCAGCATTTAAAGAAAGGCTGGAATTTTTTTACGGAAAAGTTAAGGATCGAAAAATTATTTTTCAGTTTATATTCGTTCACTTTTTCTTGCAAATGTTCATGGCCAAGTCTGCTTAACTTGAACATTGAACTCTTCGAACCAGTCGAGTTTTCAATTTGCTTTGTTGAAGTATGCGTTGTGAAAAGACACATGTTCTATACTTTAACTGTTCTATCCTTTATCTGGCTTGCTGCATCCTAATTTATAGGCAAGACTTTTCTATAAAACCTTTGAATCGACATCGAATGTTGTAAAAACGCGAAGCTAATATTAGGTTGCGGCATAAGTTCTGTCCGATTTGAATTTTTTGAGTTCAAAATGTCATAACTCTCTTCAAAGTCAACTTTATCCCAAGATCTTAGTTTCCTGTGTTGAGCGATTCCTTGGCTATAAGATACATAGTGAAACCTGCGAAAATCCTTGTTAAGGAAGAAGAAAAAACTCAAAAACTTCACAGCGTTTTTCTTCAGACCTGCCTTCTTTGACATGGCAATACTCCCTTATGAGAATTAATAAGCATCTTGTCTAACAATGGATAGATAAAGAAATTTTCGTATTTTATTCTCCGACATAAAAGAGCCCATAGGGTCTGCGTTGCCAAGAGATTTTTTTTGACCGAGCAAAAAAGAAGCCACTTTTTGACTTCGCTTTAGCGCATGTGTGCATGCCTATTTACGAATTATGAAATTTTACAATTGACGTGAGCACCGAAAAGAAAGTGGAGGATGGTCTCTGCTAGCCCTTGCTTTACCCTAGCACCTCCAACTTTGAAGTCGCCGATTACTGCTACTCGCAGAAAGTTATTGCTTGTAAAACATCTATACAGAAAATTAATGGACAATAAATTTTACTAGCAAGACATTTTCCTCATGAAACTGAACTTACGTATATGCTAGCCTGTTACACTCTTATTCCGAAACCGAATGAGAAACTTGATCTGAAGGGTGCATTGTGGAGATTTTCTCGCAACAACATATTTCTAGGGTGAGAACGTACTTCGGCAATTTTAGATTTTAGGTCTGAAATCTCCTTACAGTAAGAAATTTATTGAAATTTGACATGCTTTAGAAAGCGCAAGAAGCATTTTCTAATGATACTAACAATACCGCATTAGAGATGAAATTCTCTTAGAACAGCTGCTTCAAACATGAGGCAGAAAAAATCGGACAGAACTTATGCAGCAACCTAATAGAACATTATGCCAGCGATCAGTTATCATGTACATTTGCTTGTTCTATGATAGCAATACCAAGCTATATGCAAAATTCACAGGTTTTATCGCAGTACTCCTTTTTTTGTTCTGGTGTATAGAATGTACTGTTGCAAAATCCGTTCTTGTTCCATGTTACGCAGCTAAAATAAATCTTTAATGTTTATTTGCAAAGGGAAGAATTACCTGTATGTTGCATCGTAACAAATGGTCACAAAGCATCTGTTGCAAGTTTTCCGACAGTATCTGAATATGGGTGTAATGAATGTATTGTATGGCCACATCAATAACAACATTACTTGTCCATTATGTCATCGTAGCGATCATCTGCACACTGCGGTCGAAGTTTGGCGCAATTCATACCCGGAGTATCGCTGCAGTCGACAGTTGCTAAAATAAAGCGTCCAGGTGCAAAACTTGCCCTGAATTGGTATTTTAGTGAATAAGGCATCACGCGTTACTAAACCCAGCGTGCTAGTGGTCACTGGACCACAAATCTAGGGGTGAGAGTCAGTCAGGAGATGAAATAGACGAGTGGTGAAAAGTTGAGACGAGAAAGTAAGTAACAATTATGTTGAAAGTCTCTCTATCGTGGGTTTGAAATTGAATTGGTCAATTCGAGCAAATTATACACCGTTAGATGCAGCATAAAAGCTGACTTTAAATCTGCTTTTCTTTTTGTGGATGAAATTAAATGCCGTTAAAGATCACTATTTTGCTAAGAAATCGTGCGTGTAAAGGTAAAACTTGGCCGTACAAAGCCATTCTCGACTCAGTGTTGAACCAAAACATGCAAGTAGGCCACTTCATATGACCCGTATCTAGGGTGAGCTGAAAGAGCAATAATGTGCCTGATTTCAACTTTTGTACGCGGCTTTTTCGCCGTAAAGCTGCTCATAATTTCGCCTACAAAGGCACTCTGTAGGTATGGAAGGCAGATTCAAAATCAGCATTTTATGCGTCATCGAATAGTATGCAGCTTGTTTGGATTGGCCACTTCAGTTCCTGACCATTTTCTTGTTAGTCATGTGTCATCTGGCACGTATTCTGCGTTTACCAAGGCCTGACTTGAGCCTTTTTTGCTCGGGCAAAGCTGATTTTAGTAAAACCATAAAGGAGTAGAGAGAGACGTAAAGAAATCGAAAAGATCTAAATTCTTGATTCTATTGTCCAAGTCATATTGGAGAAATTCGGAAAGCATCAACATGGTAGCCATAGAGACAGGTTTTGAGTTCTAAGAACTTGACCCAAATATTTGAAATGAACCATAAAAACAAACTAACTCGTTGGAAATGTAGAAGGTGTTGTACTTATTGTTTCACGGAATTGCATAGTTGTAGAATCTTCGTTTAAGGTACTGCTAGCAGCGTATTGCATAATGCTAGCTCCTGTAAATAAAAAAAATTTATTATTTTTACCGCAAAATATTTACCAAGACCCCAACAGCGTCAACTCACCAAACAAAGAAAATAACAGAATTGAAGATGTTATCTGCGTCATGACGATAAGCGAATCGGCATCACGCTCTTACTTCACCTTATTTTATAACGCGTTCTTTTATTCAAGAAAAGTACACGCAATCATGAGCTGTCTCAACAAATTTTCCTTTTGTGGGTGAGGATTAAGCGTTATCGGTAAAAAAAAACGCGTCACGTTTTCTGCAGCTTGTGTTGAAACAAAGGAGCAGCCTACTATGAAATCATGTATAAAAGATTGTATAAAAGGCAGACTCTACACTCACCAAGAACTAACCACGTGAATTTTATCAATTTTATACAGGACCAGTACATTGAATAGAATGCTGTAATTTTATTGCCAGCTTCGATTGCAGCAGTTCTCAGGAACATGAAATAGCTACAAAATTCTGACAAATAGCGTTTTAACACCTAACCAGTTGAAAACCGTCATCATACTTCCAATAAAATATTGCAGATGATTCTTCCGTTTGGAATATGGAGTGCATTAAACTTTTTTCTCTTTCAAAGTAACGATACTCACCCTTGTCATCGTTGAACCTTCTGGTTTCTCTGACTTTTTGGAGACGGGATGAGAGCGATCTCTCTCTCCCAATTAAGATTTAGAGTTTAGTCTAAGTCATTTATCAACTAACTGTTTGAGAAGAAAAAGCAGATATTCTGTTTACAGAGTGTCATTGTGTAGGATTTTGTAGCTCTTTTGCATCATCGCCTTTGCAGTGAAAACTTATAGAATGCTCGCAACATCAAACAAAACTAGAGCAGCGTGTATATCGTGATCTCTCCTTGAGATTATCAACCGACGCGTCTCAGCTTTTCCTTTTTTGATTAGTCGCTCCCAAAATTTCCATGTTGACTCGTCCTAAAAAGGGTGGAAAGCACAGCAGCACGCGATAGCAAATGTCGCCGAAGGTATTAAGGTTCTAACCATACTTCTATACCTGGTGCCATGTACTCTGCTAACCTTCATTTTGAGCGTCGGGAATAGAATACAACCTTGACCTGGGGAAAAGAAGCATCCGGGGCGAAGTCCTGGATATTATGACATTATCATGTAGGAGTGAATGTGAATGAGGCAAGTATAGTGAGTGATATTCAAAAAAGCACATCAATCCAAAATATTGCGTTTTTGCAGCCTCTTCTGCAGAAAAGAAGATTTTTATCCGAAAGTCCCCTAGAATTTAGGAAGACAATTCTCAGTTGACCTTTTTATAGACTATGATTGAGTGTTAGAAGTTCACGAAAGCTGTTTGGAGCAGGGCCCGGCACGAGGTGGGCAAATGGGGTTTTCCAAAACATATTTCCCTTTGATCCCAAAATTTTTTTCGAATACCTCCTTGAGCCCCAAAAATGATGCTTTGTGCTTGTGCAACGAAAGCACCGACCACACTTCGTCTAAAAGCGCTCAAGAGCGCACAGAGACGCTCAAATTCTTCTAATTATTCCTCACCTTTATCAAGATAGCAAATAGGAAGAAGAACCGCATCTATTCATAGCAAAAGAAGACTTTCCAAACTTCCATAAATTTAGATGTTTTGATATATGATTTTGGCTTGTTCTTGTTTTTGAGTGACAAAACATGATATTGCACAACTTTCTTGGCATCGAGTTTTGATGAATCGATTATGGCCATGCTTCCTCCATTGAGATCAGTACTAACATGAACGCCAAAGGGGACTGTTGTGGCCTTAGTGGGGCCACACCTCGTTTGGAAAAGCTATGGAGCGAGTGATTTTTTGAAAAGGCCGTGTAGCGCTGTTAACGTCGTCGCGTGTACATCTACCGCGACGTTGAGGAACCATCTTTACATGGATCGAGAACAAAACTCTAATTTTGTCATGTATTTTATAAACTGAACTGCGGGAGAAGCACAGCGTAAAGGGTAGTGGAGTTAGCAAAAATGCATATCAAAATAGGTTTTGCTTATCATCTATAAGCACGCTTCTACAGACAATCATGTTTCAACATGTCAGAACCGATAAAAGCTTATCAGCTTCAAGAAATCTGCTCTGAACAGTAAACAGCCATCTTATATATAAAGCTGAGTGTCTGTTTGTCTGTCTGTATGTCTGTGCGTATGTTCCGAATAAAAATTTTTATTTCCGAACCGATCCGAACCAAACTTGGCACACATACACTTCGGGGCAGAGCGGATGTCGTAGGCTACTTTTTCGTCATCGATCTATCGATTTTATCGATTCTATAGGAAAAACTGAGCATCGAAAAACTAGTTTCCAATTCATATTTGTTCACTTCTCCGCCGGCTTGCTGCTTCCTCGTTTGTACGCAAGGCTTTTCTATAGAACCTTTATCTCAGATCGGATGTTGTGAAAACGCTAAGATGATAGAACATTATGCCAACGATCATTTATCAAGTACAGCTTGTTCTATCAACAGCAGGCTATTTACAAAATCCGCAGGTTTTCTCGCAGTACTTCTTTTTTACTTCTGGTGTATAGAATGTGCTATTGCAAAATCCGTTCTTGTTCCATTCTACGCATCTAAATCAAGACTATTCGCTGCTCGTTTGCAAAGGAGATGATTACCTGTCTGTTGCATCGTGACAAGTGGGTGTCACAAAACATCTGTTGCAAGTTTTCCGACAGTATCTGAATGTAGTTATGTTAAGCGTATTGTAGGGCGACATCAGTAACAAAAACATTACTTGTCCATTAACTCATCGTAATGATAATCTGAGCACTGTGGTAGAAGTTTGGCACAGTCAACATCTGGAACATCGCTGCAGTCGATAGTTGCTGAAATGAAGTACCACAAAGTCGCCTGGAATTTAGATTACAAGTGAGCGTCTGCTACGACTTTACTGGGACTCAGTATGTGTTGGTGACTGCGCAGTAAATTTATAAGGGATGGTTATGCGGTCCCTTGATTTAGAGGAATGGGATGGAAGTGGTGAGAAACTGGGATGAGAGGGCGATCAATTATTAGTTGAATGATTTTTTTGAGCTACAATTCATCTATTTCGAGATCATGATACGTACCTTACTTTTTATATAGTCCATAGAAGGGAGAAATTAATGATTAGGCACATTTTCAAATTTTAAGACCATTCAAAAAAAAGTATTGGGGACAAATCCAATTTTTTGGTATATGCAGGACGGAATCGAGCGTTTTGATGCCATCCTGCCCGCTCTTACGACTCTTCTCCCCTTGAAGGTACCCATCCGCGCGATTCTCCTACCTTTTCTGCACCCTCCCCCTCTTCGCCATCTCCATGCTTTTGAATAGCCTGTATTAAGTAGCCTTACCTACAAGAAATCATATGTTACCAGAGGAAGGAAAAACTGCTCGCAGATTGGTTGGTAGTGAAACTAATGCTTGAACTTCAACTTGCTTCGAAAGCTTTCAAGTTAAATCTGCTTAGATTGAGTAAGTAGAAAACTCTGCATACATTTGGCTGCACTGTACTGTGCTCGCAAAAAGGCGGAAAGATAACAGAGGAGGACATCATTTTTTGTTTGATACCGACATTTGTGCTGTCACCTCTCACCACCCGATCGTTATAATCGATTACTTTATGATTGATTGTTTCCTAAAATAGATTTGAATAATCTGCGATTCATGAGCGTTTGGCTTGACTTATTCGTGTTTAAGTAAATGTACTAGAAGGCATCTGTTGTGGTTCTGGAAATAGGGAACGTTTCAGGCACTGTTTTGAGTTCGATCTTCGACACCATTTTTCGTAGGAAAACGCTATTTTAAGAAGAAGGGCATTTGTGATTTGAAAACACACTTCCTAGTTTATGCACAAATTTTTCTGCGGGCAAAAACATTTCAACGCATTTTGATCAAGTCAAAAGCGTGATCTCAGTAACAAAGTCGGGCAAAGGCTGAGAGCCAATGACCACGTTGTGCAGTAGTGCTCGGACAACTGAAGAAAAAAAATTTGGAAGGCGCTTAGGAGCATTGAGCTCAAAAACATTAGATGCGACTTTGCAAATTTAGATGTGGTCTCGAACTCACTGATTTCGCAACGGTTCAGTCCAAATAGTAAAATTGCAGCGTACAAGCTTCTATAGCTCCGAAGAAATCTGGAGGCGACTTAAATACGGCCGCTTTTTCTTTTAGGCTGCCAAATATCAGGGTGTCCCATAATTTTTGACCGATTTGATTTCTCGCGATGATTCGTAATCTTCTCTTCTCCTGAATAGGTTTTATGGTAATTTCGACAGAGTAAGGCAAACCTACAAAACAGTACCAAACTTTTGCCCAAATTTCGTTATACGTTCAAAGCCGAAATCTAAGAATATCTAAGTACCCAAAAAATCGAAAATTGTTTCTCCGATCAAAAAATTTACAGGCTTCCCACATGCTCAACCATGTACCATCTACACCCAGTTTTTATATGCCTTTTGTCTATTTTTTTCCATACTTAAGAATGGGAAAACGTTCTTGTCATTTCAATTGTTATGTTATGCATAGTATAACAATTAAAATTATTCATCCTCAAGAACATGCCAAGGTTCAAAGGAGGACTTACGACACAATTCTTGCCATGTTTGCCTAATGCACTGGACAGCTCCCACATAGGTATTCCTGTAGCATGAAACTTCGGAAGTATAGTCATGAATTTTTGGCCCTTTTGCGAGCGATAGTTTTGAAAGTATCAATTCTAGCGCAAAAAACCGAAAAATACGACTTTTCGTATTTTTTGGCCTGTTTTGCTGTGCGTGTGTGTATTTCTCGAGTTTCATGCAAAAAGTAAGCAAGTTTACAGGTAAATATCAGAGATAGAGGGTACATGCATGAGCAAGTAAGAACTCGTGGGACTGTTCTAAACTGAAATACGATTTTTTCTCGACTCGGGGAATTAGGCCTTCTAAAATTCAAGCTTTGAGCACTGTGTAGGAAAAGCTTTAACACATTGACGACCATGCAGATTTTTAGTTGTCTGCCCTCTGGGACCAAGGCCTTTTACGGACCAGCCCACAATTTTCAACTATAATCACGCATGCTGCCATCTACAGGACACCTACAGTAAATCTGAAAGGCTAATTACAGAGGTAGAGGTCATTCTCTGGATTCTGTGCAAAAAAAGGCTCATGGAGTGAGTCTATCCAGGGCCCGGCACAGATGGTTCGAGGTCAAACTAGACTTCGTTTTTGAGGTAAGAGGCAATATAGGCAGGGATATCGTTTTAATAAGGTCCCGGGGGAAGCGCCAAAAAAAAACGACGAACATGTCAGGTTTTACGAGTTGAACGTGTTCTTCCGCAAGCGCGCGAAATTCAAACGCAAGACTCAAACAAACAAATGGCTTGTTTACAGCGCACAAACAATCACATGGCTTCGAATTTGGGCTATGTGTGTACAATATTACTCCTAATTATGTTATGTAAAAAGTTTCAAAAACTTGTGTGTCCTAATACACGTTCCCGACTTTGTTGGTTTCTAGACCAACCACCAAACCAACTGGGTTGGTTCGGAGCATAAATCTCGGAGAGTTCACATAAGTTTTGGATCTTTTTGATTTGGACGATTATAACGGTCAAAAATGTATCACGTAGTGAAGAGAGAGAATCAAACCATTGCCTCTCCTCTTTTTTTGAGCTAAAAGTAGTGTAAAGCTAGGCATTGTTAAGTATCGCGCTCCAATCACATGCGGTGTCCTTTAAACTATGTGGCGAAAAATGCATCGTCAGATTGTTGAGGCCACAGATTTGGTCGGCCTAGGAGATTTTCGACATTCTGAGCACTAAAACGGTACCATACCCAATGGCAGAGCCTTTAATCAACCCGAATTGGTTTTTTTTGCTTTTTTGTTATATTGGATACCTCAAAATGCACTTTTTTCGCTTTTTTATTGTTATTTTGATTGAACTAGGGTTACCCTACTGATTCGTCAAGAGGGACTTCGTAAATTTCCACGAAGTCATGCGGGACTTCGTTTCCCAAAAGGCTCCAAACCAACGCGTGCCGGGTCTTGAGTCTATCCCATGATAGTACCAGCCATTTTTACAAAATTCAAGCCTTGACACACATGGTGTGTCAAACGGTCCCACGCGGTAGTCATTGCTTGACACAGCATGTGTGTCAAGCGGTCGTCAATGTGTTAAGCAGGTGCAGTACTGTAGATTATTTGCTCTGTCAAACAGTGCTGGAAAAACTATCCAAAAAGCAAGAAAAGTATGAGCGCTGAAGCAACCAAAATCGGTGAAACTTAAGGGACACCCTAATAAACGTTATGAGAAAATCCATAGGCTATACCATAGGACTAAATTTTGCAAGATACAGTTGGGCATTTCCAAAGTACATCTTTGGTATGAGTTCTATGAAAAAACATTCCAAAAAGATTACAAATCATTGATGGTCATCTTCGTTAATAAAATGCCCTTTAATGTGTGAGGATTGTGGGGCTAATCAAAAATTTTAGGCCAGGTAGTTGTAGCACCTTCGTTACACGTACTTTGAGCTTCTGGGCGATTTTGCAATGTTGAAATCATGCTTGAGGCCAGCAGGTTCAATGCCCTTCTGCGAAGCCATTTTTTGGCAAAGAGATAAAAGATAAATGCTATTGCGAAGAAATAAATGTTTGCGACTGAAAACCTGTGCAAATTTAGAAAGTGCGCTTCAGTTTCTTACTTTCTGCGCAGATTTTCCTGCGAGAAAATCATTTTGTCGCCTTTTCGAACAATATCGAAAACGTGCTTGTAAAGACTCAAAAATATATTATTACTGTTCGATTTTTTTCTGAGCTCAATATTCAACCCAACCCCCTCCTTAAGACTCTCTATCTCCCTCCACCTCATAAGTGCTCAATTTACGACTCCATGCTGCGACAGTGTATCACACGTTTCAGTCTATTTTGTTTATCATATTCTGAACCAATGAGCAAAAGTAAATCGCCAGTATTTAACTCAAAATATTCATAGAAAATCTAACAACGATTAACTCAAAAATATAGAATTTGGGAAAATCAAACAATTGTTCGTTGCACCATAAAGCCAACACTTACTCGTCGGGGCAGTAGATGGTGTTGTACTGACTAGTTCACGACTTTTTGCAGTGGTAGAATCTTCATTCAAAGCACTGCTAGCAGTGTCGCCCATACTTCCAGCTCCTGAAAAGTTTATCCTTTTAACTTGAAATTTTCATAAAAAACCTAGCAACGATTGACTTACCAAACAAAGAAAGAAGTATAATCAGTGGAAGAGTAATCTGCGTCATGATGACTTGCGGAAGAGTAGCGCGCTCTCATTGCACTTAATCTTTTATCATGATGTCTTATCTGGAGAGCACAGAAACGTAATCCTAAGCTAGCTAACTAGCGTAGGCAGAATTCCTTTTGTGGGCGAGAATCAGGCGTTATCAATACAAAGCGTATCACGTTTCCTGCAGCACGGGTTGAAATGTGGACTTTTCATACAAAGGAAGAACACTGCTCGCCAGGATTCAAATCAATCACGAGACTGCTTCCCCAGTTCTATTTGGGTTGAGTACCAGCCTGGCATGTGGCACGTTGCCGCTCAAACCTCTTGAATCTACAACGTTCTTGCAAAGTTTGAGAATGCTTTCTCTAATTGAAATGTTAGGATAAAACGGCCAAGTCAAGCTGTTTTTCAAATTTTACCGAAAGAATAGAATCTATAAAGATTTTCCCACTTATTTTCTTTCGGGTACACATATCAAAAAACAACAAGGTAAAAAATACGGGAAGTCAGTTTGCATATTGAAAACGATTATTAAAAACATACGTACACACATACATACAGACAGACAGACAGACAGACAGACAGACATACAGACATACATACAAACAGACATTCAGCTTTATATATAAGATTAACCTTTCTTTCGAATGGAGTGATCGCTTACAAGGAAGTTACTGAAAGACTGGCCTTACTTTGACTCAAATCTTTAGGGTCTCAGACAGTCGATCGGACCCCTCCGTTCAGTAGTACGCTAATTTTGCGCAGGAAAAAGCCCAGAACTCTCTTCGAAATGGTGCTCGGCAGCTAAAAATAGCATATTCGGAATCAGCGTTCAAAGCTGATTCAGAACATATATGTCGCTTGACAAAAGGCCAAGCTAAGTTACGTAGCTTTCCTCATAAGATAAAACTTTTCACCAACGATCAGATTTAAAGTTGGCAACTGGCGCGTCGGTAGTTACAGAACAATATCTCACGCAGTGATTCTACTATGCACCCTTCTTTTTGGTGCTCCCATAATGACGGCTAAACTCACACAGCGCTGATGACAACCATAAATGAATTGTAACTGCTCATTCTTAAACTTTTCCCATGTTAGATCGGTAACTATAGAAGGAAAAAGTATTAGGCTGCTGCATAAGTTCTGTCCGATTTTTTTGCCTTATGTTTGAATCAGCTGTTACAAGAGAATTTCACCTCATATGTGGTACTGTTTGTATCATTAGAAAAGTGCATTTCTTGATCTTCCTAATGCAAACAAATTCCAATAAATTACTCAGTCTAACGAGATTGCAGGCCTAAGATCCCCATGTGACCGAGATCCGGGCCAGTAGTAAAACCCTACAGGGCAACTCGGGAGACGGCCCTTTAGAACCGATAGCTCGGGCGGCGTAATTAGCGCGCGCCTGTGATTGGTCGAGGCCGCGGCAGCGACTGGCTAGGCGAGAGAGCCGCCTAGCCGTGAGAGACGCCAGACCTGCAGAATTGGACGAGTTGTTTGCCGCACACCTTCGCTTTTGGACGCATTACGCCACAGAGTCCTGGCATTTTGCCAAAATCAGAGATTTGGCGGAAAATGTGATAAGAAATTATTATATTTGCTTAAAATCTCTTTCTTTTTGGTTCATATTTTCACTTCAAAATCTGACGATCACGGAAACGGCGACGACGACAACGATGACGAAATGGAAAGAAGGAAGAAGGCTGGTGATTATTCTCGTTCTTGTTTTGTTGTTTATTTTTAATTTATTGTTTGTTGTTGTATTGTTGTTATTGTTTGTTACTGTTTTTTTACAAATTATTGTTTTGTTGTTGTAATATATTGTTTGTCTTGTTTCCATTTCTCGGCGGCATGGTAAACCCGGTACCATGCCGCTGAGTTGTAAAAAACTTGTTTAAATTGTGGGATCCCTTGTCTAAATGAAAAGTTGCTGTCGACAGTTTAAAAATTTTATTATGTTCAATATCTAAGCAACTCTATCAGAAATGAAGTGGGACATAGTCTGGCAATATCTAACTAGAACTCGCGTAGATAAGCATGGTTGAAAGGTTCTGTGCGATGAAGTTCCATGTATTTTTGATGCGTTGGCAACGTTTCAAATCCTTCTTCCGCAAGCGGCGTATTATCCTCTAAATAAATTTGTGAATTGTTGAGGTTCGAAGAAAAGATAAACAAACCCTTTCCATGTTCCTCAACTTGCACATTGCCCCTCTATCATTCCCTTTTAGAGCCATGATTGTATTGCGCACTGAGGCCCAATTTTCCCTTGTGAAGACTCTCAGAACTCTAAAAAAGACTGAATACATTTGACAGTTGAGGAATTACAATGTTACCTGTGGTAAGACTCCGCGATATTGCTTGTCCTAAGTTCTGCCTTACCCCATTGCTCCAAATGTCCGCGAAAGGCCCTGATACCAGTTTTTGTGCAGGTAGCTTATGAAAGCTTTGCACTTGCTGATGGCTTGGTTGTCTGATGCCTGACGATCTCTTCTAATCAAAGGTAAGCGAAAAAGAGCTGGGATTTTTTTGTGAAGATGGGGTGGGAGAAAAATTAGCCCCTTTATCACCATCCACTACTCCTGGATCCGTGGTTTCTTCAAATGGGGTTTCAGCCCTAGGGACAGCGCTTTCCGGTTCCAAGCTTGAGCGAGGTGAAACCCGCAACTCTCAACACATTGACGGGGGAAAAACTTCTGTAATACTTTGCATGACTATGCATTGCAGGGTATACACTCTTATTCACTATTGTTATCTGAAACTCACTCTAATAGAAGCCAGTACTGTGCGCTCAAAGTCGACGACGATCTCAGGTTTTCATACATCAAAATTTACTAACTCTTCTTTGGCCATTCGGAAAACCTTGTCGTACGCGGACTGATTTTTTCTTTTCATAAGGACGTGTATCAGTGGGACGTCTAGAACGAAGTAGTCTTTTCATCGAACTAGTTCTGTGGTGACTTACCAATGCCATTATTACAAACTCCGTGGATGGTATACAGTTGGCCGTCTTTGCCAAGCTCTTCTGGAGGGAGTTTGTGTATCCCATCTGCGACTAGGGCAACCAGTCCATTCTCTACCGCTTTCTGCACGGTCTTTCTCGAGTAATATCGTTTAAGCCTGACAGCTTTAGTTGCAGAAACTGCGTTCCATCATCTAGCGGCAGGCAGGCAGGTTTTCGAGAGTAACCCTCGGTAAATCATGACTTTGCACAGCCCTGAAGGTACAGTGTGAATCCCCCGATTTGTTTCTTGAATTCTACTGACTTTGCTATCGTTCTTCTTCTCTTCGTGTAGCCGATGTCATAGAATTCGTCCATAAACTCTTCTATTTCTTCTCTACTGTAGTGTTGCAATAGGGGAAGAGCGTCATGTCCTGCCAGATTTTTCTAAACACTGCATATTCGAAATGAGAGTCGCTTCGGTATTTCTGGAGGTTTTCGTACATGAAGCGTTGCACATAATTCGCCTTGTACTTGTTGGGGATGCAGTGGTGCGGCAGCATGCAGGGGTCTACTTGGAATTCGTCATCGACTACCTAGAGCACAAGGGTGGACATTACATCTACGTTGTAGATAACTTACATCTTCCGAGTGTGATATCCTGCTTTAGCACAGTACATGCACTTGAAGGCCTTGCAGAATTTCTTCCTCTTATAGAGAGCGAATGCGTAGCACCTAGAGCCTCCTGGAATTCGGTAAATTAGCACATAGAGCCTCCCGAATTTACCTACTCAGATAATCGCCGGGGGCAGGCGGCCATGCGAATTATGGGCGGGCGGGCACCGGAAAAATAGTTCGCTGATTTCTTGCGGTCCGCTTGCAGATATTTGACAGAATTTTGGCGGAATTTTAGACGAATGCTTGGAGAATAATCGCGGTTTCCTTACAGATTAGCTGCGGCGCAGTGGCCACATTCTCGCGGATTTTCCGCGAGAATATACAAAATTTTTGAGGGCCGCACGATCCTTTGTGGAGGACCGCACAGCCCCCAGGTACTTTCTGCTGAGAGAAAGTACCTCAAACTTGAGTAATTAAACCAACGGTGACACCTCTGCCACACAAAGTCTTACCTGTGCTCGATGTAAGCCCGAAAATGCGTAAAAATAGTCCGAGCGCCCGCTGAAAGTTCGGCCAGTGTTTGCAAAGAGATTAATTGAAGAGCGCCTGCAGAAAATTTTGTGTTGCTTCCCGATGGCAGAACATTAGACAGTAAAGGAAGCACCGCTCGCTGAAGGTTTGGTCACGCCCCAAAATTCTACTGACCGCTTGCAGAAAAGCGCGAGTTTGCGGACCGCCTGCCCCCGGTGATTATGTGAGTACCTGTAGTTCTCCTTGATATATGGTTATATCTGAAAGATTAGATGAAGGAGCAGATGAAGAAGCTGCGGGCTAAGACGATACGTTAAGAGAAAGCTGCGCTGGTAGTGGGCTTGAGAAGCTGAAGCTAGATTGTGCTGTCAAAGGTGTGGAAGCCTCCGATGTTTGTAGAGAAGGCTATCCCGGATGCGGCGTTTGCAAAAGGAGCCTATCTGACGCTTGCTTTCTATCAAAGCCTTTGAAGAGCTGGAGATTGCGTACCACCGGTCCTTGACGACCGTACAATCGCACGTACCAACGGGCGTTTGTAAGGTTGTCGTTAGCCGTCCGCACGGCGCAAGTTCCTGAGCCAGTATGCAAGTTTTGAAATTTTGAACGGAATAAAAATTTCGAATTTTTTATGATTATTCAAGAGATGTAAGGTTATTTTGTAAACACCTATGGGCATTTTTTGGACGACGGCATCGGTTCCCAGAGCCTCGCAGTATACCCCGGGTGCAAAAGTTCGAAACAATGTTAGACGAAAGAACATGCCGTTATTTATATGCAATCATTTCGTATAATTTTCAGTGCTTCTGCTCCTAGTACAATACCAATTAACTATAATTTGGTACATGGGGACGAGTGATGTAGTGGTATGAGGCGCCGTTATGACCAGATCGGACACAGGTCCGAACCCCGCCCCTGGGCCAACCAAACCCTCCACCCTCCTGGGCCGGTAAATTGATACCAAAGTAATTTGGGAGGATGAAAGCATTGACTTGGTAAACGGCTGCCCTCCCCCCTCCGCAAGTCATTGTATTAGGCTCGCACGCATACGGTTGCCTCTTCGACTATGAGGTAGTGTGCGTTCGGCGCATGCCCACAGACGGTATTGAAGACATTGAATCCTTTATCCTTTATCTGTCTTGTCGTGGTTCTAGTGTTACTGATAATGTTAGTCAGTTCAGTATATACATGTATATACAAATCTATATATACATGTCATATGTATATACATATGACATCCGCAAATAACTGTAGTACTTACGGTGATCGCCGTGCATATATTGTTTGTGGTGTCCACTATGTATTGCATTTAGTTCAAATTGTCAGCAGTCTTAACTATCCATCATAGGAAATTTTTTGCAGTTGACATTTTAGTAGCATTGTACTATCAAAGATGACATTGTAGCTCCGCCACTGCGTTATAGCTATATTCTTCCATTGGAATCTGCTAGGCGTTAGTCATATGAATATCCATGTTGGCTAAACAGTAAGAACCTATATACTCATATTGTTGAAACCAACTGTATGCAACGTTTGAATAACAAGTATAGAATTTACTAAATGTATAACAAACATGAAATTTGATTACTAGGTACGCAGGATAAAGAATTCTCATAAAGAATGTATAGACGAATATGGCAATTATCAAACTTGTACATAAGGATTATACAGTGCTGGACATAATTATACAGCCACTCTAGAAATCGTCGTAATTTTTGTTCTTGTCAATGAATGTGTCTGAAACTTTGCTGTATTGTGCGCATGTCACCTACCATAACCCCTTGAAACGGCTTCCAGTCTTGTTGAGTTTGAACGGAGAAAAACGAAAAAAATCGAAAAAGCCCTCTTTGAAAGCTGGACAAAATTATACAGCCACGTGGTTTTTCTAATCACTATCGCATTTGTTGACTCTCAAATTTTTTTGTACAATTACATCCCAAAATATGAAACATTTGCGACACTTACGGCCTGTCTTCCTACTCAAATAGAAGCAATCGCTGCATTTCTTGCTTTCAAAAGCATTAAAAGTCAATCTCCTTCAACAAACAACTGCTTTAGAGAGTTTTCAAGCTCTTGTTCATTCCAAATGATAATCATGGAATCTACTGACCCTTCTGGATAGATGAGGTGAAGAGCGCTTTCGTAAATTCTGCGTAATCGCTGATTTTGACGAACAGACTCCAACCTCACCATAGGGTTGACGCACTTTTGCACCACGAAACTCGATTTTCAAGCGACAGAAAATACTGTAATGTAGCCATTACGACAGCCATACAACAGTAAACTCGTGTGCATGACTGGTAAGAAATCTCGGTACTGAGCACTCTGATTCAGCCGCAGTTGACATTCACTGAATGTTGAGTGGAGCACCCTGTACAATCAAAGCCAACTCAGATCACGAGATAAAACCGGAGATGCTTGAAACTTCAAAATCTTAGCTAATCTCATTCATCGGGTAAAATATGACATGAAATACAGATGGAAATAAGGAGATCTAGGGTTATATCAAATCTTCCGCTCGCAGGGAATTTTTGTGGAAAGTATTCCAGGTCTAAATCGCTACCGCATCATTAGGAAAAATCTGAAAGTTGTTGCGAAAGCTGTATCCCCATGTAGACAATGTGATAAATCAAGTTCAGCACTTTGTAGACATTGCAAACTGAGTTTTGTGGTTTAAAAGCGTTCCAAGCCTATGTTGAGATTGGAGTCTGTCCGTCAAAATCAGCGATTACTCAGAGTTTACGAAAGCGCTCTTCACCTCATCTATCCAAAAGGGTCAATAGATTCCATGATTATCATTTGGAATGAACAAGAGCTTGAAATCTCTTTAAAGCAGTTGTTTGTTGAAGGAGATTGACTTTTAATGCTTTTAAAAGCAAAAAATGCAGCGATTGCTTCTATTTGAGTAGGAAGACAGGCCGTAAGTGTCGCAAATGTTTCATATTTTGGGATGTAATTGTACAAAAAAATTTGAGAGTCAACGAATGCGATAGTGATTAGAAAAACCAGGTGGCTGTATAATTTTGTCCAGCTTTCAAAGAGGGCTTTTTTGATTTTTTTCGTTTTTCTCCGTTCAAACTCAACAAGACTGGAAGCCGTTTCAAGGGGTTATGGTAGGTTGACATGCGCACAATACAGCAAAGTTTCAGACACATTCATTGACAAGAACAAAAATTACGACGATTTCTAGAGTGGCTGTGTAATTATGTCCAGCACTGTATGCGAAGCGCATACAGAAGCTAATAGTAGGTGTTTGGGCATCAATTTCAAAAAAAGGATTGTCTGCTGGCAAGGAACATGTAGGTTGCGTTGAATAATGTATTATATCTTGCCTTTATGGAATATACATTTAGAACCTTACACCTACAATGACAGCTTTTTATTCAATATCAACATGGATGAGTGGAAGGGGCTCTCGATAGAAGAGCTCATGAGTCCAAAGAACAAAACGGGTGCCTCGATTTCGACAGTGAATTCGTGTGTAAGGCAGACAATTCATAAGATCACACCATTTGGACCTGCAGGAGTCAACTGCGAATGTCCGAGAGCGCGCATAACTCTTTCCAGATAATCCCTTGAGAGATAGAAAGCATGACTTGGTCGACTGTAACCCTAGAGTAGCTTTTACCTTCAAGGTTTATTTGGTGTTCATTAAGCTGCGGAGGGTTAAACTTACCCGGTGCCAGCAGAGCACTCACTGACGCATTTTGGTGAAGGAGTCCGTTCTGCGTGCGCTCTGCATCACGAAATTCATAAAATAAGAACGTGCTATATCTCTTTATACTTCTATTCTTCTGCTATTATCATGAACGAATCAGCATTTAAACTGGTTTTTGTAACCATCGTTAGCATATTTGTGCAGCGCCCAATCTTACAGAGTGAATCTATATTCATGTGTGCAACTGTGCCGTCTAATACAATGGGCTTGTGCGAGTCTTTTAGGGGCCAAATGCGTGTCATCAGAGGGGGTTCTTCAAACTGGTTCAAAATGCAATGCACAAGCTTTTTTCGTCGTCGCATTCATTTGTTAGCCACAGCTAGTCTTCTTTCTCTTAAGAGTCAATGTTTCAACGTACTTTGAATTTGAGTATAAAACGAAATAGAAGATAAAAGTGGGCGACTAAATTAGAAAAACTACTGTAGCAACTCTTGTACTCTACACCTTTCTAGGCAACATCCCGACTCCCTGCCTCATACTGACCCCTGTAAAGCTGCCTCATTCGATTTCAACT